GGGACCTCACCTTTGCTACGTAAGGGGAAGACCGTGGTGTAACGCGAGTAGTCGTCAACAACCAGCAGAAAGTACCGCTCGCGGCCCTGTCCCTGGACGCGGGCTGGGCCCCACACGTCCATGTGGAGGGTCTGCAGGGGCGTAGTCGTCGGGGGAAACGAGGAGGAGTGAGGAGCGGCGTGCTGCCGGCCCTCAACGCAAGGAACGCAGGGCGACGCAGGCGAGGGTGGGAGGGAAGGCAGAGACCTGGGAAGACCAGAGACAAGACAGCAGGAGTGCATGCCGCGGAGGCATGGCAGGGAGGGTGACCAAGGCGCTGGTGCCAAAGGAGAGTCTCGTGCCACAGGAGGCGACACTCGCAGGGGGGGGGCTACCTGACCTGACGCGGAAACTTGACCAGACGCAGCGACCTGAGGAGGCTCAGTAGTCAGTGTGTACAGACTCGACCCAGGCCGACGGGTGAACGTGGCCAGGTGACGGCCAGTCCGGGAGCACGTGCAGATCGTCACACGCTGCCTACCAGGGGTAAAGGTATCAACCCCTGCATCCTGAAGGACGGCGTTACTCACCAAGTTCGTCGAGAACGAGGGAAGTTGGAGACCTGACAGTGAACCGGACGGAACCGCCAGACACGTGAGAACAGTGGAGGCATGTGTAAGAACCGGGCCCCCAGAGGGGTCAGCCAGTGAGACTGCAACGGGTCTAGGGAGTGGTGTGATTGTGGTACTGTCGCGAAAGAAGCAGCAAAGCACCTGAGTCAAGTGTGAAAGTGTGCAAGGCCTCAGCAGGCGCAATACCAGAGAGAGCAGACTCACTAGCACCTAGAGCAGCAGCCTCTATACCTGGGTCACGCGGCACACACAGGTAACAGTCATCGTCGGTACTGACAGTCAAAGCAGACATGGCAGTAAGGATAGCGTCAAAGTCTAGAGCAAATATATCCACGCTGCGTCGAATCAGCTCTAGCCAGTGGGGGAGCTCAGCGTCATCGCCAAACTCTACGTGCCAGGCGTCACTCAGATAGGCGAACCAGCGGGACTCAATGTGGCCAACTGTCCCACAAGTCTAACCAGCCCGAGCACACGTGCGAATGACGTACGGGCAGCGAGCAGTACTCCGAGACGCCCCACACTGAGCGTACCAATCACGAAGCTGTTGGGGCGTAAGGGTCTCGCACGGACGCTGCTGCAGCTACACGACGCCACCGCCAGGAACTCCCTACCGAACAACTCCACCGCGACTGCTACTACGGCCGCCGCCACCACTCCCACTGCTACCACGAAGAGAAGTCATAGCGGGCAAAGCAATGTGGCGCGTGACGAGCAGGGCAACACGTAGAAAAGGCAGGGCGACGATCAGGCACTAGGGTAAGCGCGGAGGGTAGGGCTGGGCGGTGCACTGTCAGGGAAGGGTGGCGAGCGGCCAGAGTAGTGCGACGCGCTGGAAGTAGGTCGGCACGCAGATAGGGCAGGGCGTACACGTGGCGCGCGGGCAGGGCAGGGCGCGCGTGGGCCGCGTGACGGGCAGGCAGGCAGGGCGGACGGGCGACGCGACAGGCAGGCAGGGCGGACGGGCGACGCGACGGGCTGGGGCAGCCCGCACGGGCGACGCGACAGGCAGGCAGGGCGGACGGGCGACGCGACAGGTTGAGGCAGCCCGCACGGGCGACGCGACGGGCCAGGGCACGGCGTACGGGCGACACGGCGGGCTGGGGCAGCCCGCACGGGCGACGCGACGCGACGGGCACCAGGGGCGCGCGGCACGACGGGCAGCAGGGGCGCGCGACGCGACGGGCAGCAGGGGCGCGCGACGCGACGGGCAGCAGGGGCGCACGACGCGACGGGCAGCAGGGGGGGCACGACGCGACGGGCAGCAGAGGCAGGGCGTTCGCGGGCAGCGCAACGGAGGGCAGGGCAGAGCGCGCGCTAGGCAGTGCAACGCAGGGCAAGGCAAGGCAGCGCGGCAGCCAGCAGGGCGGTACGCGGGCAGGGCAGTGCGACGGGCAGGGTAGGGCACTACGAGCAGGGTAACGCGCTACGGGCAGAATACGATCGGTGGGCCCTAACGAGAACGGTCCTGGGACAGGACCTGCTCTGAAACCATGTCAAAATGAACAGCAGGAATGAATAAACTATGAAAGGGTTTGGTACAAGTACTAACCCTAAACTATGTTGTACCCCACATAGGCTTCCCCACTATAGCCTACAACAACACAACATTCTGACAGATCACTGTATTGCTTGTGTTTTTATAACTATACAGGTGAACTGGCCTTATGGCCTCTTACTTGTGCTCAGACTGTGTGGTAACTATGTGATCCACCCTGAGCTTGTTTTGTTTCTCTTGACTGGTCTTGTGACCGCTTGTTGTCCCCCTCTTCGCCTATGGGGGTGTGTCAGAACATATATTCATATATTGTTAGTTATGCTAGGATGTAGTGGGGCACTTCTTAGAGAGTACAATAGCTTTAGGTTTCACTTTGTACTTCTCGACACTCTCATTGATGCTACCACTCTCCTAAGTCTTGACTACTTAGTCTAGGATTCTAACACCATCACCATCACCAGCACCGTCATCAACACGAGCAGCATTACTACCACCATAACCACCACCACCACCATCATAACCACTACCATCACCATCATAACCACTACCATCTGTTAGAATACTAGCTAAGGCTTAGAAGCCATGGCTAGGGTTTAGGGTACACGAAAGAGAAACAGGAGAAGAGGGTTGAACTAGAAAGGAGGGGGGTACAAATAGCAAGCCCTAAAAGGGTTATACTCACTATTGAGTACCCCACTACAGACTAGACAAGCATTATATTCTGACACACCCCCATAGTCAAAGTGGGGTATAATCAACACAACAAGCAGGCAGAGCAGTAGGTCACAGTGATAAGCAAAGCTAGAGACTATCACAGAGGGCAAGTGAGGAGGAGGAGAAACTGTGGGGGCGAGAAGATGGGAGGCGACGGCTGAAGCTGCAGACACACGGGCAACAGGAGTGCGCAGAACTGTCGCTACCAGGCTAAACCCGGACTACACGGCGACAGGCGCAGCTGGCTCTCTGTGCTCCCACGAGTGCTCACACTGTGGCTACCGGGCGCAGAGCCCCGGACTACTCAGGCCACAGGGGGTCGTGGCTCTCTGGACTACCAGGAGTGCTCACACTGTGGCTACCGGGCGCAGAGCCCCGGACTACTCAGGCCACAGGGGGTCGTGGCTCTCTGGACTTCAGGCGCTGCGGACGACAAGACGACTGCCTCCACTCAACTTCCCCCAGCTGTCCCACACCCGTGTCACACACCCCCTGCTGCACCTCTAGCACTGCTCACACGCCACCCCCCTCGTACAACTCCGACGGCTCCAACACATCCACCCCCCTCAGCGGCAGCGCGCACACAGTGGCTACCGGGACAGCGCCCCGGACTACTGGAGTAACTGGCTCGGCGGCTACGAGGAGCGGCAAGAGCAACGGAACCACGGGCGATAGGCACAGCAGGCTCTCTAGGCTACCTAGAGCACGACGGCTCCGGACTACTGGCGCTGCAGGCGACACGACGGCAGCCTCCACGCAACCTCCCCCGACCGTCCCACACCCCTCTCACACACCCCCTGCTGAAACCCTAGCTCCACTCCCACGGCACCCCCCTTAAACCCTAAACCCTCGGCTCCCACACACCCACCCCCCTCAGCGGCAGCTGCAGCAGTGGGAGACGGAGGAGGAGGAGGAGCTGCAGGTTACCCACACCGGTCACCCCCATGCCCGCCACCCCCAAACCCTAACGCAGGCAGGAGCGCGGGAAGCAGCAGGGGCGGTTCACGGAGGGAAAGGGAGGCGGCGGGGGGGTCTTCTGGGCGCCACGAAGAAGCAGGGCGCGGGCCCCCCGAGGGCGCCACGGCGGGTGACGGGAGGGGGGCCGCGCACGGGCCCCCGAGGGCGGCTCGACGGGCGACGGGAGGGGCCGCGCGCGGGCCCCCAAGGCGCCGCGACGAGGCGACGGGAGGGGGCGGCGCGCGGGCCCCCAAGGCGCCGCGACGAGGCGACGGGAGGGGGCGATGCGCGGGCCCCCAAGGCGCCGCGACGAGGCGACGTGAGGGGCCGGCGCGCGGGCCCCCAGGGCGCCGCGCGAAGCAGGAAACCGCCGCGCGCCTCGGGGCGCACGGCGGGCAGAAAACCGCCGCACGCCCCGAGCGCACGGTGGGATGAAAAACGCCGCGCGCTCCGAGTGCGCGGCAGGAAGAAAGGGTCGCGCGCCCGGGGCGCGCGACAGCAGTAGAGCAGCGGAAGCATCGGGTGGGGCCCACCCACAGGATCGACCCAGGAGGGTCGACCTGCTCTGATACCATGTCAAAACTAGCAGACAGAAACAAGAATGAAGAAAGGAGAAGTTGCACTAGCAGCAGTTGGCATACATATAGGAAACCCTAATTGGGTTGTACTCGCTATAGAGTACCCCACTGCAGGCTAGACAATAATAACATTCTGACACGGGGCAGACTGTACGGGCCACGCACGGGCCTGGCGCAGGCTGGACGAACCGCGCGCGGGCTGCCCGGGCCGCGCGCGGGCCTGGCGCAGCCCGTACGGGCCGCGCGCGGGCCTGGCGCAGGTCGTACGGGCCGCGCGCGGCCCGCGCGGGGCCCAGGGGCGCTTCGACGGGCGACGGGGGGCGCTTCGACGGGCGACGGGGGGCGACGCGCGGGTCGACGGGGCAGAAAACCGCCGCGCGCCCCGAGCGCGCGGCGGGAAGAAAAAAAAAAGGTGTCGCGCGCCAGGAAAGCAGCGGAAGCACGTGGGGCCCACAGGCCAAGAGCGTAACAGCTCTGATTCCATGTTAGAATACTAGCTAAGGCTTAGAAGCCATGGCTAGGGTTTAGGGTACACGAAAGAGAAATAGGAGAAGAGGGTTGAACTAGAAAGGAGGGGGGTACAAATAGCAAGCCCTAAAAGGGTTATACTCACTATTGAGTACCCCACTACAGACTAGACAAGCATTATATTCTGACACCATCATAACCACTACCATCATAACCACCACCATCATAACCACCACCACCATAACCACCACCACCATTACCACCACCACCATCATAACCACCACCATCATAACCACAATCAACATGACAACCACCACCACCATCATAACCACCAACATCATCGTATAAGCATTCTCTCATGGCCCTCACAAACACTCCTGATGTATCTATGGCCCAGAGTTTTAGCATCAGATACATGTAATGTAAGAACACCGTGAAGTCCAAGACCCGGGTTCATTCTTGTGTCATGTAAATATTTATATTGGCATGTGTAGTTCCTTCGCAGAGAGCATGCGAATTGCATTCACGTCATGCACATACCATTTAGTCAGAAGCTTGAATATCGGAGTTTTGCCCCCTAAGCTTGCCTAAATGTCTGTAAGACCATTGCGAGGTGCCTGCGAGGTTGGCTGAGTCCAGCTCCCCCCTCTCCCAACATGAAGCTCCATCAAGGTGGATGCTGGTAATGCCACTAATCAGGGCTGGTGGTTTTCTGAGGCTGCATTTTAAAAAATAAATGAGGGAGGCAAAGGGAGTACATGAGAGCGTAGTACGGTACGTATGAAAGTTGGTTGTAAGGTTCACAAAGCGTTCCGAAATTAATAGTTTTTTGTTAACGACGAAGTGATTACGGTGCAATGCCAGTTAGGCGGGGACCTTGGAGTTTAACGTAGGTTGAGCATAGGTTTGGTTGTGCGTGCAAAGTCCGAAACAAGAGGCAGCCCCGGTAGGCAAGGAGAGATATTCTGGTCAGAGCCCGATCCTTTGAAATCTGGGGTCGTATGTGATGCAGCTGAAACACAGTTCAGAATGGAATTTTTGTGCGCTCTTGTGTGGATTCTGAAAGGCATTTGGAATCGACATGGTTAAGCTAGACATCGTTAAGATTATTGGTTCTTTTTGACATTGTAGCGACCTTCGAAAAAACCGGCCTGCTGTTAACGAGTACTCGAATATTATCTCATTTGAGCAAGACTTGAGGAGTTTGTCGTTTTCCGAAGATTTTTGGAATCGTGGTGGTGGGAAAGGAACTTGGCTCTTGATTTATTTCGTGCAGCCCCTCAGATTGGTCTCTCGAAATTACGATGACACGAAAAACTACTGAGGTGAGTGAAAGCTTGCTGAGATTAACAGGGCTTTGACTTAAAGAAACACCCGCCAGAAAGCAGTGCACACTAGTTGGATAAGTCCACCGAGATGGATGTTCTGGTACAGTACTTTCTGTATGAAGCACCACACTTAGAGAAACGACGGTTTGGAAATAAAAAACATTATCGGGTGCTGCTGGTTTAGTGCATGCTCCTTCATCCCAAAGCACAGCACAATGATTTGCTAGCGAGAGAGGAAGGCTGGTCATTGGTGCAGCTCCTCCATTTTGCCGGACAGAATGGAGGGCTTGAAAACCTTCTCCGCCCAGTTCCATTCGAAATGAGGGGTCCGTTTCGTCCGATTCGAATCTGCTTGCCAAACCGGAGCATTTTCCTCAACAAGTCTTAGGGAAGATTCCCTCCCACCATAGCCAACCATATCTACTGTGTATGTTCTCCGAATTCGGACCTCCTTCTCCACACGCAGTGCAAGGGGACAGGGACGAGCTTCTGTACCGTATCCACAACCATCAGTCCCGATTGGGGTTCATCATACACCGAGTGTGGTTAGTTTTGCTGGGCTGTGCTGTTTCGGCCGGCTGGCAGCCTCTCTAAGTAATATCCAGCTAAATGGGAGCTCCTCATTTGCGCCAAACGTCGGAGATACGTAAGGGGGAGACCGCCCTGCTGCTCAGCTTCGGAAATTGCCACGGTGCCAAAAACCGTATCACATGTTCGGTTACCGAAACTCACCGCCAGGCTCGGTTTGTTTCGAACCAGTGTGTTTTGGCTAATCGAACCAGAGCTACGAAATTCAGCGCGGGTTTCCTCACTCCCCATTTGGGCCTCGCGAACAGATCCCTAGGGGTAGCTGGCAACTGTGGCGCATGCGTCAGATGCGTGGGGGAGGAGCAACCTTGCAGTTCTTCTCGCGTGCCTACTTGAGGCACAAACGCGTGGGAGGATGCAGCAGATGCGATGGAACGTCAACTTCAAGGCTTCATCCACTTACAGGCTTTTTGATGGCTGTGCTTGCCAGTCCACTGCAGGAGTAAGCAGAATGGAGAGCATCACTGATGTCACCCCGTCAACTTCAGTCACATTGCCTGCAGATTAAAAAAATGCTCTCTACTCTTACAGTATAATAAATTGTCTTAATTTCAGTAGTCTTGTTAGGTTCCAGCAGCAACGCGAAAAACAGACGCACAGGAAGCGAGGCGAGATGGACGACAGAGATTTAGTCGAGGATCTAGTAGGCGAGGCGGAGGGTTACCCGAGCGCTCAAGTCGAAGCCTCCATTTTCGGATCGGAGCCGGAACCAGAATACTGCAAGTACAGCACAGGCCACATACGAGAAGAAATAGGGTTTGATGGCAGATACCTCAACTTTCGTCCCGATAGTGCCAAAATTGGACAGATTCAGTCCTTCGGGTGTTTGTTACTCGTCGAAGAAAGCTCGTTTCGTATTCTCGCGCTTAGTCGGAACGCGGTTGAGATGCTGGAGATCGACGCGCTTCCGGGAAACCCGGACTGGAAAGGCGCGATAGGTCTCGATGCGCGGAGTTTGTTTAAACTAACGAGCGTGGCGACGATTGAGAGAGCTTGCAGCGCGACCGATCTTAACATCGTTTGTCCTATTCTCGTTAGCTCGCACCGATCCGCTAACCCGTTTTACGCTATAATGAGACGATGCGAGGAAGGCTTAATGATCGATTTTGAGCCGTTGAAGTTCGACCCGCCGTCAGGCCCCGTTACAGGCGCGCTCGCTTCTCACAAACTCGCTGCGCGAGCCGTGGCGAGATTGAAGTCGCTTCCAGTCGGCGACGTGCGGTTGCTGTGTAACACCGTCGTGGAGGAGATTGGCGAAATGACTGGTTACGATCGCATCATGGTGTACAAGTTTCACGAAGACGAGCACGGCGAAGTGCTGGCGGAGTTTCTCAACAACCAGAAGATCGAATCGTATCTGGGATTGCATTATCCCGCGACCGACATTCCCATGGTGGGTCCTCCTGAGTCATCCTGACTCTTCCGTTCTCATTCGAGGTATTATGTTCTTTGCCCTATACGGTACACGCGAGGAGCCGGCTCTCGCCGAGTTGAGGAGAGAGGAGACCAGAGCGGATCTCCAGAACCGAGTCATTCTGTGCGGATTTGACGTGGATTGCTCCACGTGGCATGCAGCATGGTTGGCAGAGCGGTGTGCGACGTGGAGGCCTTCACTGGTGGCACGTGCTCAGCACGCGAGGGAAGGGGTTCGTTCCAAGTAGTAATAGACATGTAATGTTTGTATTGAATGTGGACGCAAGAGGCTAACAGGCAACAGGCTTGCAGGAGGGAAGGGACCTTCCTTTTGCCGTCCCTGATGGATTGGAAAAGGCATTGCGGGGAAGGGACCTATCTGACCGGTTCCACTCCATCATTCGTTTGGGCTGATTTCGACTGAGACTGTGTGAGAACGACCGAGTGACTGAAACTTACTGAGGCTGCTTGAGTAACGGAAACCTCCCTTTCGCCATCCCTGATGACGCGGAAAGGACTTGCCTGACTGGTAGGTAGATGGTGCGGAGCCGTCCATGAGATGAGACCCTGGAGCTGTGGGAGTGTGAGCCTGTGCTGTGGTGAAACCATGATGAGCTTATTTTGAAGGCTGTGGTGGCATGGCGTGACTGAGATTGACTACAACTGGAAATTTGACTGGGCATGGCTGGTAGATGGCGCGGAGCCGTCCATGAGATGAGACCCTGGAGCTGTGAGAATGTGAGCCTGTGGCCCTGTGGCCCTGTGGATCAATGAGCTTATCATAAAGGCTGTGGTGACATGGCACGACTGTATCAATCAAGGACTGCATGGAGCCACGCCTGTAAAAAGCCATTACAAATGAGACTGCCTCTGAATGACTCGGTTGATGAAGTCATTGAGACCAACTGGTCGAGTGGCTGAGACTGACTGAGACTGATGGAGTGACTGAAGCTGACTGTGGCTTATGAAGTGTTTGAACTGACTGAGACTGACTGAGACTGACTGAACACGTCCTGAAGTACGCCCACCAGCATGTATCTGTCCGTCTCAACTGGTCTTTGGTTCATGCTTTCTCGAACCGGCTGTGCGCACGAGCGTGGACACCTAAGCGGTTTAACCAAGGCGAATTTCTTCACCCCTTCTCATGGTTGGTTCCCCATTCCCCCTTCTTCCGCCGCCCTCCTTCCAAAGGGCGCAGTGCACGTTCAGGAAGAACCACGCGCACATGATTGTGGGCATCGTTTGAGGCACCCCAAACTTTTGAGGTGCCTTTTGAGGCACCCCAAACTTTTGACGCGCCTTTTGACGCGCCTCAAAGGGTGCAGTTCACGTTCAGGAGGAACCACGCGCACATGATTGTGAACAGCAAGGCGCCATCCCCCCTCTCTCTCCCCACACCCTCCCCTGGTAGCTTCTCATCCGCCCTTCTTCGCTCCTGCCCATCCCCCAGATGGTGCGTCGACATTCATGGAGAACAGGGTGCGCATGATAGTGGACAGCAAGGCGCCCTGTCTAACCTCCCTCCCTCCTCCAACCTCCCTCACTCCCCCAGATGGCGCGTCGGACATTCATGGAGAACAGGGTGCGCATGATAGTGGACAGCAAGGCGCCCTGTCTAACCTCCCTCCCTCCTCCGACCTCTCTCACTCCCCCAGATGGCGCGTCGGACATTCATGGAGAACAGGGTGCGCATGATAGTGGACAGCAAGGCGCCCTGTCTAACCTCCCTCCCTCCTCCAACCTCCCTCACTCCCCCAGATGGCGCGTCGGACATTCATGGAGAACAGGGTGCGCATGATAGTGGACAGCAAGGCGCCCTGTCTAACCTCCCTCCCTCCTCCAACCTCCCTCACTCCCCCAGATGGCGCGTCGGACATTCATGGAGAACAGGGTGCGCATGATAGTGGACAGCAAGGCGGCGGGGGTGGACGTGCTGCATCGGGGCGCGCTGCCGGGGGGCCTGTCCCTGGCGCACAGCACGGTGCGCATGGTGCGGTCGTGCCACCGCGAGTACATGGCCAACATGGGCACCCTTGCATCGCTCGTGCTAGCTATCACCGTCAGCACGGGGTGAGTGAATGGGTGTGTGAGTGGGTGGGTGAGTGGGCAATTCGTGGCCGAGTCGTGCGTGGAATCAGGGAGAAAATCTGGCAAGAAATGGGGGTGTTGTGGGGGTGTGAAGGCAGTTGGGGAGTGGGGGGTTTGTCCCTGGCGCTCAGCACAGTGAGCATGGTGCGGTCGTGCCACCGCGAGTACATGGCCAACATGGGGCGTCCGCGTCTCTGTTTCTAACTTCTGGCTATCACCGTTAGCACAGGGTGAGTGTGTGAATGAGCGAGTGAGTGAATGAGTGAGACGTAGACGGAATACGTGCAAAATTATTGGGTAGAAATGGAGGTGTTGTGGGGTTATGACGGCAGTCGGGAAATGGGGGCCTGTCTCTGGCGCACAGCACGGTGCGCATGGTGAAGAACAAAGGAGAATCTGGTTACAAATGGAGTCGGTAGGGGAGTGGGTGAAGAGCACAGCACGGTGCGCATGGTGCGGTCGTGCCACCGCGAGTACATGGCCAACATGGGCACCCTCGCTTCTCTTGTTCTGGTTCTGGCTATCACCGTCAGCACAGGGTGAGTGTGTGAGTGAGGCTGCTATTGTCTCTCCCATTGTCTTCCTCCTCTGGTCTCCTATTGCACTTCCTCTCTCTTATTCACCTTCCGTCCCTCCCCCCTTTGCTCTCTCCCATCTGCCTTTTCTCCTCTCCATGTCTTTCCTCTGACGCGTGCACATTATCCCTCTGCTTGCATCCGCCGCCTCGTCACATCCCACCCACCACCCACCCACCACCCACCCACCCAGGTGCCGATTTCTTCAGCCAACTAGAAAATATGTGCTTCTTCCGTGATTATCTGCCCTTCCTTTCTCCTTCCAACTCCTCACACCACAGGGAAGCAGGGGCAGCAGCAGCTGCAGCAGCAGCGCCACCCAACGACGTCGCCGGGGCTGGGAAGGCGGTTCGGGCCGAGCCTGGGCGGCGGCTGTGGGGGCTGGTGGTGTGTCACCACTGCTCGCCCTGCATGGTGCCCTACCCCACTCGCTCCGCCTGCGAATTCCTCGTCCAGGTGACACCCTGCTTGCCCCCTTCTTTCCCCTCCTCCTTTTCTACCTTCCACTCCGAACCCTTCCACTCCCAACCCTTCCACTCCTGACTTTGGCTGGTGGTGTGTCACCACTGCTCGCCCTGCATGGTGCCCTACCCCACTCGCTCCGCCTGCGAGTTTCTTGTGCAGGTGACCCCCTGTTCTTCACCTCGGCTATCATTAGATTCCTTACTTACTGCCTTCCCCCGCTTGCTTTGTCTGCTCCTCTTCGGTCCACTCCCAACCCTTTCACTCCCAACCCTTCCACTCCCAACCCTTTCACTCCCAACCCTTCCACTCCCAACCCTTCCACTCCCAACCCTTCCACTCCCAACCCTTCCACTCCTAACTTTGGCTGGTGGTGTGTCACCACTGCTTGCCCGGCATGGTGCCCTGCCCCACCCACTCTGCCTGCGAGTTCTTCGTCCAGGTGACATCCTTCCCCCCCTTGTCAAGGCTCCCCATCCCCGTTTTTCTAGTCTGTCTTTCCCCTTTCTTACTCCCTTGGTTCTCCTCCTCATTGGCCATCTCTCTCTTTGCTTACTCCCTTCCCTCCCCGTCTCCATCCTGTCTGTCTTCCACTCTCACCCATTCCCCTCTGAACCCATCCCTTCCCCGTGTTTACTTTCCACTCCCACCGTTTCTCCTCGCATCCGTTCTAGATCCGACTTTTGAGTCGACGTGACTTATGAGTCGACTCAAAAGTTACTTTCCACTCCCACCGCTTCTCCTCGCATCCGTTATAGATCCCGGGCGTTGGCAGTGCAGCTAAGGAGACGAACCTGGCGAACTCCCATTGCCCCGACTCATTGGCCTCCCTCATTTCTGCTGTCCTTCAATCGACTCTTTGACTCACGTGCCCCCATCCCCCCCCCCCACGTTTCCCGCCCACCTCATCTTTCCCCTTTGGTCACTGGCAGGTGTTTGCGGTGCAGCTGAGCAAGGAGATGGACCTGGCGAATCAGCTCGAGGCAAAGCACAGAACAGAAGAGACTCACACTCCCCCTCCTTGCCCCTCCGGATACCCCTGCACTGCACACATCACTCTCAGGTGTTTGCGGTGCAGCTGGGCAAGGAGATGGACTTGGCGAATCAGCTCAAGGCGAAGCACACTCTACCCGTGGCCCGCCTCATTGACCTCCGTCCCCCCCTTCTTTTGCATGATGCTTTCCCACTCCCAACCCTCCACTTGCAGGTGTTTGCGGTGCAGCTGAGCAAGGAGATGGACCTGGCGAATCAGCTCAAGGCGAAGCACGCCCTCAAGATGCAGACGCTGCTGTGCGACATGCTCATGCGCGAGCCGCCCGTGGCGCTCGTCACCAAGACGCCCAACATCAGCGATCTGGTTCACTGCGACGGGGCTGCTTTATTGTACAACGGTCGCTGCTGGCGATTAGGATCCACACCCTCTGAGCCTCAGGTGGGTGTAATGGTTGTGCTGTAGTGTGTGGTTGTGTGGCCTGTAGGGGTAATCAGAGAGGCCCCACGTCACCGAGACGCCCAGCATCAGCGACCTGGTTCATTGCGACGGGGCTGCTCTGCTCTACAATGGGCGTTGTTGGAGACTGGTGGGGTCGATTCCCTCTGAGCCCCAGGTGGGTGTAATGGTTGTGCTATCGAGTGTGTGGTTGTGTGGCGTGTAGGACGACTCACCAGACATGTTCTTGATTCGAGCTTCCTCCATTCCTTGCCCCCCTCCCCTCCCTTCCCTCTGACATGCACTCAACGGGCCAGGTTTTCACCATAGCGGAGTGGCTGCTGACGCATCAGAGCGACTCCACGGGCTTCAACACCGACTCGCTGCTCAATGCTGGCTACCCTCCCAGCATTCACCTCCCCCCCTTCCTTCCTCGCCTCCCCCACTCATGCGCACTGCAATGACCGTCACTTCTCGAGGTGCTGAACATGGCAGAGTGGCAGCTGACTCAGCAAGCAACATGTGTTGACCCCGTCCCTTCCTTGTCCCCCTCCTTTGATGTGCAATGCCACCGCCAGGTGCTCAACATAGCGGAGTGGCTGCTGACGCACCACAGCGACTCCACGGGCTTCAGCACCGACTCACTGCTCAATGCTGGCTACCCGCACGCGTCTGACCTGGGCGAGGAGGTGTGCGGGCTCATTGCAGTGAAGTTCAGCGATAAAGACTTCCTCATGTGGTGCGTACCTGTGCTTCTTCCTTCCACTCTTTGAGTGGGGAGTGCTTGTGCTGCTTCCTTTACCTCATTTGCAGGCATGCATGCTGTGCTGTGCTGTGCTGTGCGGTGCGGTGCTGTGCTGTGCTGTGCGGTGCTGTGCTGTGTGCCACTGACCTGGGCGAGGAGGAGTCATGCAGGCTGCACCACGCCACTGGAGGCTCAGTGCAGTCAAGTTCAGCGATAAAGGCTTTCTCATATGGTGCGTGTGGTAACACGTTGCATGCACCCACGCCCCTCCTCCAAGGCCGTCCTCCTTGACCGCATGCATTCTCTCTCCAAAAACCCCCTGACCCCTCCATTCTCCCTCCCAAAACCTCCCCACCCCTCCCCCTCCTCTCTCCCGACCCCCCTTCCCCTAACCCGTCCTCTCTGGCTCACCCCATCCATCCAAACCCCAGGTTCCGGGTGCATGCAGCGAAGGAGGCGAAAAGCACGTCCCGCTAGACGTGGACGACCCCACACGCATGCACCCACGCACCTCCTTCAAGGCTTCCCTCCTTTCCCGCACGCGTTCTCTCTCTCACAACGCCCTGACCCCTCCATCTCCTTCCCAAATCCTTCCCAAATCCTCCCCAACCCTCCGTTACTCTCTCAAAACACCCCCCGCCCCCTCCTCTCTCTCTCCTTGCCTGGCTCCATCTACAAACCCTCCAGGTTCCGCGCGCATGCAGCGAAGGAGGTGCGGTGGGGGGGAGAGAAGCACGACCCGTTGGACGTGGACGACCCCACCCGCATGCACCCACGCACCTCCTTCAAGGCCTTCCTTGAGACCGTGCACATGCGCTCACAGCCCTGGGAGGACGTTGAAATGGACGCCGTTCACAGCCTGCAGTTGATCCTGCGCTCTGCTCTTCAGGTGGGTTGTGTTGTGGTTCCCGGATCAATCAACAGCTTCATAGCACAGTGAAAGGAGTCTCCCAAGGCGGGCCTTCCTCGAGCGAGACCGTGCACATGCACTCCCAGCCCTGGGAGGACGTTCAGATGGATGCTGTTCACAGCCTGCAACTCATCCTTCGGTCTGCGCTGCAGGTGGGTTGGTGGGCTGTGCTGTGTGGGCTGTGGTTTGGTGAAACTGATAACTGCATGGGGGCCGGGCCAAGAAGAGTCCTTCGAAGCGTGCCTTCCTCGAGACCATTACGTGACCATTAACAGGGGCGACGGTCATGTGACCATTACCGTCGCCCCTGACCTGCCCCACTTGCTTTCCTCCTGTCCCTGCTGCTCTGCATCGCCTCCTTGCCCTCACCTCTCCCCTTAGGAGCACGACTTTGGGACAAAGCTGCAGCTATTGCTGGCGTGCGGTTGACATCACTTCTCGAGCGACAGTAGGCATACCTCCCTCACGTGCCTGCTGCGCTTTCCCTGGCCCACTTCTTTCCCCCTCCTCTATCCCCCACCTCTATCCTCCTCTCCCCCCACGAACATGACGAGGTGAAGCGGCGGCAGTTAATGCTAGCTCGAGTGGCGGAGCTGAGGCTGCAGAGCATGGACGAGATCAACCAGGTGGCCAACGAGACCGTGCCCCGTGCTTGTTGCCCTTTGGCCCCCTTACCCCTGCCTTGCCTGGCCGTCTCCCCAATCCCCTTCCTGTCCTCCGTCTCCCCAGTCCCCTCCGTCTTTCCAGGAACATGACGAGGTGAAGCGCAGACAGTTGATGTTGGCGAGGGTGGCAGAGCTGTGGTTACAGAGCATGGACGAGATCAACCAGGTGGCCAATGAGACGGTGCCCCGTGCTCATTGCAGTGTGCACTGTGCCCTCACCCCTGGCTGGCCCCCTCCTCTGTCCCCTCCGTGCCCCTCTCTCCCCCCACGAACATGACGAGGTGAAGCGCAGACAGTTGATGCTAGCTCGAGTGGCGGAGCTGAGGCTGCAGAGCATGGACGAGATCAACCAGGTGGCCAACGAGACCGTGCGCCGTGCTTATTCCCATCCCCTGCGTCCTTTCCCCTGCCTGCTCTCCTGCCCCGTCCCGTTCCCTGCCAACCTGTCTCCCCTCAGGAACATGATGAAGTGAAGCGGCGGCAGCTGATGCTAGCACGAGTGGCAGAGCTGCGGCTGCAGAGCATGGACGAGATCAACCAGGTGGCCAACGAGACGGTGCGCATCATTGAGACAGCCACCGTGCCCATCCTAGGCGTCAACCGCAACGGCCAGATCAACGGCTGGAACATGCAGATCGCCAAGCTCACTGGTGGGTGTCTGAACAGGGGGGTTTGGTTTAGGGTTTGGGGTTGGGCTTTGAGGTTTTGAGGGAGGCATGAAAGAGCAGCATGGGACAAGACGAAATGACCCAGGTGGCCAACGAGTCCGTGCACAGGGGAGGAGGCTGTGGTGTGTGCGCTCATTACTGCGACCAAATTCTATCTACATCTAATCCGCGTGAGGGGAGTCTACTTTTGAGGCACCTCAAAAGCGAGCAGCATGGGGCGAGACGAGATGACCCAGGTGGCAAACAAGTCCGAGCGCATGGGAGGAGTCTATGGTGCGTGCGCTCATTACTGCAGAGGCCAGTTAGTTCTTGGCTGCTGCCGCAACTCAAGGACCCACCTATGTTGGAGTCGTTTTTTAGAATTTGAAAAAAGAGTTCAACATAAGTCAAGGACCCTGCCTCCCTCCCTCCCTCTGCCCCATTCTGTTGCACTCTCACTCGCCTGCCTCCCCTCACCACTCCTGCTCTCTCCTCCCTTCGTCTGCCCTGCAGGTGTACCGGTGGAGGAGGCCATGGGGTGGTCGTTCCTGCAGAACCTGGTCCTTGAGTTGTCTCTTATCCTTTTCTCCTGCCCCTTCACGTCCGTCCCTCCCCTCCTCCTGCAGGTGTACCAGTGGAGGAGGCCATGGGGCGGTCGTTCCTGCAAGAGTTGGTGGCGGAGGAGAGCAAGGCGGACACACAGAGACTGCTTGTATCTGTGAGTTTTGCTGTCACACAGTCAGTGAGGGTGAGCTTGGTGCTGGCAAGGGTCTGCTTTGTAGGTGAGCATAGTGTGAGCACAGGAGCATAGTGTAATGTGCTGTGCTTGGTTCGCTTGGTGTCAGTGATTGTGTGCCTGGAGCTGGCGCTCATTCCTGCAAGAGCTGGTGGAGAGGAGAGCAAGGAGGACACACAGAGTCTGCTTGTGTCGGTGAGTGCGCGCCCGGCGTCAGTGACCGTGTACTTGGTAGGTGGGACTCCTGTGCACGCAAGCCATTATACTGAAGTGAATTTTGTGACTTTGGTGAGTTTGGTGACTATTGGGTCGACTCAAAGTCACCTCAGTGACCGACCATGTACTTTGTAGGTGGGACTCCTGTGCACGCCAAAGCTGGTGGGAGAGGAGAGCAAGGCGGACACACAGAGACTGCTTGTGTCGATTAGCCTGCTTGAACGTGACTGTGTGCTTGCTTGGTCGCAGTGAGCGTGCTTGAACGTGACTGTGTGCTTGCTTGGTCGCAGTGAGCGTGCTTGAACGTGACTGTGTGCTTGCTTGGTCGCAGTGAGCGTGCTTGAACGTGACTGTGTGCTTGCTTGGTCGCAGTGAGCGTGCTTGAACGTGACTGTGTGCTTGCTTGGTCGCAGTGAGCGTGCTTGAACGTGACTGTGTGCTTGCTTGGTCGCAGTGAGCGTGCTTGAACGTGACTGTGTGCTTGCTTGGTCGCAGTGAGCGTGCTTGAACGTGACTGTGTGCTTGGTTGGTCGCAGTGAGCGTGCTTGAACGTGACTGTGTGCTTGCTTGGTCGCAGTGAGCGTGCTTGAACGTGACTGTGTGCTTGGTTGGTCGCAGTGAGCGTGTGCAGCGGCATGCCAGCGGGATTGCCCCATCGTCTTCTCATCCTCCCCTTATCCCGTCTCTTCTTCTCGTTGCAGTCCCTACAAGGCCGGGAAGAGTCCGACGTGGAGATCCGCCTCAAGGTGTGGCAAAGTGGGGTGCCGGCCGGGGTGCTGATCGTGCTCTGCCCTCTTCCCCTTCTTCCCCCCACACCTCCCTCAACCTCCACAGTCCCTACAAGGCCGGGAAGAGTCCGACGTGGAGATTCGCCTCAAGGTGTGGCGCAGCGGCGTGCCAGCGGGGGTGCTGATCATGCTGGTGAACAGCTGCGCCAACCGGGACATTCACAACCAGATCGTGGGCGTGTGCCTCGTGGGGCAGGACATCACCACTCAGAAGATCGTCATGGATCGGTGAGGGAGGGGGGGAGTCAAACAGGGAAGGGGAGTGGCATCAAGGGGTGCTGCTCACAATGGTCTTGGGTGGGCGTGTGCCTCGTGGGGCAGGACATCACCACGCAGAATATCGTCATGGATCGGTGAGGGGCATACTTGGTCAACGAGGGAAGGGCAGAGGAGGGGAGGGGAGTGCAGCTTACATGGGTGGGCGTGTGCCTGGTGGGGCAGGGCATTACTACTCAGACATTCGTCATGGATCGGTGAGGGGCCTGCTGGGCCGATTAGGAAAAGCGAGGGAAGGAGGAGTGCTGCTCACACTGCTTGTGGGGTTGGGCGCGTGCTTGGTGGGGCAGGGCAGGGCAGGGCATCAGCACTCATAAGGTCGTCATGTATAGGTGGGAGTGGTGGGAGGGAGGCGCACTGGGTGGACTACGAAAGGGGGCGTGGCATCAGGTGTGCTGCTGACAGTGCTTGTGGGGTTTGGGCGCGTGCCTCATGGTGCAATACATCACCATGTATTGGTGAGGGGGGACCGGTACATCACCCACTCAAAAGGTCATCATGGACCGGTGAGGGGGGGAGGAGAACGAAGGAGGCGCGGAAGGCGGAGGTAATTGGTCCTCTCCGTCTTCTCTCGCCTCTTCTCCCCCCTCCCCTTGTTAGAATTTAACCGATGACTTCATTAGGAATCATGAGGGTTTACATAGTTGGATCTAGGGAAGGGGGGTTGGTTGGGTACCTAGCCAACATTATTGCCCCCCCCCCCTTCTCCCTCAGGTACATCCGGTGTGAGGGAGACTACCGCACCATAGCGCACTCGCCCAACCCGCTCATCCCGCCCATATTTGGCATGGACGATACGGATATGTCATCTGCAGCGAGTGGAACACCGCAGTGGCTGGGATGTATTCACACCTCTGATTTCTGCCCTTGCTACCCCCTGCCCCTCCCCACCCTTTCTTCTATAGGTACACCCGGTGCGAAGGAGACTACCGCACGATAGTGCACTCGCCCAACCCGCTCATCCCGCCCATATTCGGCATGGACGAGTACGGCATCTGCAGCGAGTGGAACACGGGCATGAGCCGCCTCACAGGGCTGGCATGTGTTAACTACCGCTGTGCCTGCCCTTGCTCCCCTTTCCCTCACCACAGGTACATCCGGTGTGAGGGGGATTATCGCACGATTGTCCACTCGCCCAACCCGCTCATCCCACCAATCTTTGGAATGGACGAGTACGGCATCTGCAGCGAGTGGAACACGGGCATGAGCCGCCTCACAGGGCTGGGCCGCGGGGACGTGCTGGGCAGGCTGCTGCTGGGGGAGGTGTTTGGGCTCGACATGGCCATGCTCATGCTGCGGGATGAGGATGCCATGACTGAGCTGGAGATTGTGGTGAACTGTGCCATGGAGGGGCATGAGGACACGAGCAACCACCCCTTCTCCTTCTTTGCGCGAGACGGGAAGCTGCAGGTAAAACACTGGGCTCTAAACCGCCTTAGAAGCTGCGGGTGAGAGGGAAAGCAGGTGTTTTTCTGAGTCAACTCAAGAGGACATGGCCATGCTCATGCTGAGGGACGAGGATGCCATGACTGAGCTGGAGATTGTGGTGAACTGCGCCATGGAAGGCCATGAGGACACGAGTAACCACCCATTTTCGTTCTTCGCACGAGATGGGAAGCTGCAGGTGAGAAATCGGCCTTCAGACCGCCTCATGAGCTGCAGGTGAGAGGGGGAGCAGCTGGTTTTTTTTAGTTGACCCAAAAGCCACTTTTGCTGCTGGGGGAGGTGTTCGGGCTGGACATGGCCATGCTCATGCTGAGGGACGAGGATGCCATGACTGAGCTCGAGATTGTGGTCAACTGCGCCATGGAGGGGCATGAGCACGAGCAACCACCCCTTCTCCTTTTTTGCCAGAGAGGGGAAGCTGCAGGTGAGAGGGATTGGTGGTTGCCAGTGTACTGAGGGATGAGGATGCAATGACTGAGCTCGAGATTGTGGTCAACTGCGTCATGGAGGGGCGTGAGGACACGAGTAACCACCCCTTTGCCTTCGTCGCACGAGACGGGAAGCTGCAGGTGAGAGGGCTGGTACTGCTTGGTAAGATTACCTATGGGATGAGACCACAGGTGCACTGACATTCATGTCCGCCCGTCTTCCCTGCGTCACCGCGCTATCACTTTCTCCTCCGCCACCTGCAGAATAAAGAAGGATTCGAACCGGAGCGAGCCTTGTGGTCCCCGTAAAACTTTCAGCTAAGTGTAGTGGGTGGGTTGCGTTGCAAGGCTAGGAAAGAAGGCATAAAACAGGACTTGGTTGTTTTTTTCCTCCGCCACCCTCCCCCACAGGAGGTGCTGCCAACGGTGAGCAAGTGCACGCACATGAAAGGGCACAACACCTCACATGCTCCCTCTCATCATGCACCCCACCCTCTCCCTTCCCCACCCCACCCTCTCCCTTCCCCGCCCCACCTCTCCCTTCCCCACCCCACCCTCTCCCTTCCCCACCCCACCCTCTCCCCTACCCACCCAACCTTTCCCCTTCCCCCCCTCCAGGAGGTACTCCTGACGGTGAGCAAGCGCACGGACGTGGATGGCCGCATAACGGGCGTCTTCTGCTTCCTCCACTCCATGAACCGTGAGGTGCAGGAGGCCCTTAAAGCCCAGGCCGCTGCCGAAACCGCTGCACAGGCCCGCATAGCCCAGTCAGACGTGGCCAGAGAAAGCCTCCGCGCCCCCCTTGATGGTCTAGCCTTTATCCGCCTGTCTCTGCAGCGGTCCGCTAGCCTCTCACCAGACCAGGTTCAGCTGCTTGAAACCGCTGCGGCACTGGAAGAGCAGATGAGAACGATTTTGGCCGATATGGCGGATTTGAATGCGGTGGAGGAGGGTTATTTAGACGTACAGCGGGTGGAATTCTCCCTAGTCTCGGTGCTGAACGCATCCCTCAGCCAAGCATCAGGAGCAGCGATCGCCAAGGGGCAACAACTAGTCTGCTCAGTACCCAGCCCTATGAGAGTGCGAGTATTCGGCGATCCCACACGGCTACAACAGGTGCTCGCCACGTGTCTGCGCACGGCTGTCGAACACACCCCGCCGACTGGCTGGATCGAGCTGAAGCTAGAGGCGCCGATGCGAGGAGCGGCGGATGTGCCGCCCCCGCAGGGGCACCCGTCGGCTGAACGGTTCAGATTCACCGTCGCGCATTCGGGGGACGGGGTGCCGGGGCCGCTGGTGCAGGTGCTGGTGGGGAGGGGGGGCGTGGCTGCGACGGGGTTGCAGGGCATGGCGCTGCGGTTGTGCCGGCGGTTGGTGCATCTGCTGGGTGGGGAACTGGGTTATGCGTTTGAGAGTGGGCGGTGCTGCTTTAGATTGGACCTGCAGCTACCGGTTAAGCACAAGGCCGAGGCAACGGCTGGGAGTAGAGCGTGAGAAGGGGGGTGGGGAGGAGGCGTGGCTGCGACGTGGTTGCAGGGCATGACGCTGAGGTTGTGGCGGAGGTTGGTGCATCTGCTGGGTGGCGAGCTAGGGTATGCGTTTGAGAGTGGGCGATGCTGCTTTACACTGGATTTGCAGTGGTCGGTCAAGCACAAGGCTGAAGCCACAGCTGGGAGGGGACGCGGGGGGCAAGGAGGGCGCGCACGTGTGTGCGTGTGTCTCTATCTGTCTGTGTCTGTGCCTGTGCCTGTGTATGTGTGTGTGTGTGTGTGTGTGTGTGTGTGTGTGTGTGTGTGTGTGTGTGTGTGTGTGTGTGTGTGTGTGTGTGTTTTCTTTCTCTCTGTGTCTGTGCCTGTGTATGTGTGCATGTGTGTGAGCATGTGTGTGTGTGTGTGGAGAGCATAATGGAGTGGGTTGGAGAGGGTGGTGTGGAATGGGTGTGATTGTGTTTGATATGAGCAGTGCGTAAAGGGAGGGGTTTTTGAGAACATCGTCGCTTCGCGTTCTTGTTGTGCCCTCCTCAAGGCCCAGCCCAGCGCGACAGATACTGTAGCCGATCACATTGAGTTTTGAGACGTCTCATCACTCGGAAGAACGTCTCACATAGAATTTTAGACGTCGCAAAACGTAAGACCCAGCAGGACGGATACTGTAGCCGATTACATGGAGGGGAGAGGACAGAAGAAGAGGAAAGAGGCAAGAAAGAAGCCGATACGGAAGGAGATAAAGATGGAGAGAAGAATGGAGGGGAAGGAGGGTATGGGAGAAAGGAGAGAAGGAGAGGGAGGAAAATGTGAGGAAAGAGAAGAGTGAAGAGGGAAGTGGAATGTACAGAAGATGAGGATTGTGTCGTTAAGTAGCTGGGGAGGTTCGAGGTTCTTGTGTGAAGGAGCTTACATTGGCACGCCGCACACTTGCACGCAGGCGTGCAGTGCAGGTGTGTAGAGGAAGTGGGAACAGGTCGGAGGCATACTGGCTTGACCAAATTCACAGCAGGGCTGGGGCCGAGGGAGCGGCCTGTGTTAGTGCTACTGGTACTTCTCTTGAGTAATGTGAAGTGAAGGGCTGCAATTTTATACTAAGCAGTGGGGTGGAGTGAGTGAGGAGGGCGCATGGATGGTCCTGCATGCAGAGAGGCAGAGGAGGGGGATGAGGACTGAGCACACTTACACTTAGAGCGTCTATGTGTTTCTTTCTATGCAGGTGGCAACAATTTTGCGTCCGACTGCCCTCTCGCTACTACAGTACCTGCCTGCCTACCATCCAGTGCGCACCCACAGTTTATATGGCAGGAACAGTTACAGTATGGTTCACTTCACTGCCTGAGCATCTGTGGTTCTTGTGTGTACAGTTTGAAAGCGAGTTATACTTATAAAAGCCAAGCCATAGCCTATCAAGGGCAAGTGGATGAGAATGAATGGGCGCATCTTGTTTTTGTCAGATGCGGTTCTAGGCACAGGCGCCGTTATTGTAGCCCAAATAGTTGCATGTTTTCCAGATCAGCATCCAATGCTGATGTACATTTCCATCCATTACTCGTACAGACCCAGCACATAGTACAGATTCCAAATCATTGCTTGCATCACAGGTCCAGCAATTGGTCACTGCATACACGACCTTGCCTGGTGACTATCGGTCTTGGACCCTTCAAGGCTGGAAGACTTGAAACTGTCATTACGGTGCACCAGTATGATCCATAGAGTACGGCTGCAACCTTCCAGCATCTCCACACACACCATGCTAGAGCAGACGTACACCATTCACAGCAGTCGCACTACTGCTGGGTAAGGGTAACCTTTAACTCACATCACCGGAAATAGTGCCAGGCAGAAGGTCCTTGCTCACTACCACTCCAGGAAGAGCCGTCCTCAGCAGCTGCAAGCTCGCACTGCCCGCTCTGACCTGCTTCAAACGAGGTAGCCCCTTCAGCAGCTTCACACCCTTCTTTCTCACAACAGAGTTGGATACATCCAACAGCTCCAATGCAACGAGCTGCTGCAAATGCTCCAAACCAGCATCCGTGATCGAACTCGGGAGGACCAGCATTTTGAGCCGGGTCAACGGTGCCAGGAACCGAAGCCCGTGGTTCTTCACCCCGCTGCCGAACAGGTACAGCTCCTCAAGGCTTGTCATTCTCCCCACGAGCACCATGCCGGGACAAGTCACCCCCTCGCACTTGTAAAGAATCAAAGTCTTGAGGAAAGCAAGGGCGGTCAGGTGGGGCAAGCCCGCATCAGTCACAGCGGCTTGGTTGAGGTAGAGAAGCTTCAGACTGCTGCTAGCCGCCCCAATGCCCTCCAGGGTGCTGGCTGTGACAGTGGTACCCTTCAGCTCTAGGCTTTCCAGGTGTGGTAGGGAGTAGAGACACTTGATGCCTTGAGAGGTGAACCCTGATGTCATGTCGATGTGCACGTGCTTGAGGTGAGTCATGGTGGCCACGTGGGCCAGGAGGGCATCTGAGAGGTGCGCTTGACCCTTGAGATCCAGTGTTGCTGCTGCTCGGATTTTCTGAAAGGAAGGTGACCGGGAAGGAGCACAGATCAATGATATTGAGAAAGAGGGAGGGTGGAAGAAAAAGAGAGAGGAAGAGAGAAGAACCAATCCAGTACATGGTGAACTGACTGATGTGCATTGAGAATCAAGCACATCAGTCAAGAATGCAGGCGAGAATCCAGCAGCCAGCACTCATGCACACCTGCCACGCCGAACTGACATCGCCTTGGCTCTTTCTTAGTTGCTCTCCTACAGCAAGCTCTTCATGAGTTGAAGACTGGCCCTGCTCTGCTGCTGCTGATCGCCAACTCACTGCCACCTCAACCTGGACATCCACGCCTTCCTTCCCAACCTTTTCAGCGCCGTCCTCGTGTAACTGCCTTTTTACTGTAACCAGTTCCCCTTTCATCGCTATCAACTCCCCCTTGACTTCTATCAACCCCCCTTCCAACTCCTTCTTGGCTGTAACAATATTCCCCTCCTGTTCCTCCTTTGATTCTCCCAGTTTGCCCTCCAACTCTTCCTTGGTTGCTTCCAAACTCCCCTCCATCTCCCACTTGACTACTAGCAGCTCCGCCTTCACATTCATCACCTCTTTCTCTCCCTTCTCCACCCGCCCTCTCAACTCTCTCGAATCTGCCACTCTCCTTCTCTCAGCCTCCTGCAATCCCTTCCTTGTCTCCTCCAATTTCTTCCTTGTCTCCCCCAGCTGCCCTTCAAGCGCATTGATCCGAGCCTGCATGGCTTGTAACAGTGCAGCTGTTTCTGCCGGCTGCATTGAACGTATAGGAGCATCTTCACTTGCCGCCTGCATTCTGAGATTGTGCAAAAATACCGAGAAACGAGGACAGCCGCGCACGAGGGAAATAAGAGTAGGAATAGGGATCTGTGGGCACAAAAAGGGGCAATCGATGAGATGTGGACGTGTACGCAGGGACATCAATGGTTAAGATACAATGGCATGAAAGCTAACGATGTGTGAACATGAAGTGGCACGGTGAGGCGTTCTTACTTGTCATTGAGAGCTGAGGCTACATGTTCCTGTGACATGGGACGGGCAGGAGGAGGGACTATGGAACAAGCTTCAACCATCAACAGAGAACGAGAGATGGGAAGGAACATGGAAAGAGAAAAGGTAAGAGGAAGGACAAGAGATGCGAGCTGAGAGGAGGAGATGACAAGACGAGGCGCACAACTCGCAGCAGCCTACAAGATGTACTGTTTATTACTCGTATATGGTGAGATCCACGAATTGTACTGTTGGATACTTGAATACAGAGAGATAAGTGGGGTTATGGGGGGCAAACTGCCTGGTCCAAGCGAGTCAATACAGCATGAATCATGGCACACTTCATGGCATGGAGAGGGCCATTCATGGCATCAAGAGTGCATGAACCATGGCATAGCGACGATCTGCTCATATCATACCAGGATAGGAACGACTGCACTTTCCAGCTTCAGCAGATTATCTTTCACTTGCAAACCTTGCCGACCCACCCACGCCCTGGTCTGTGTCTGGGAGATGTTCGTCCACCAGCGCAGCATTATGGCAGATAACATGCATGGAAAGACGATGCACACCTGGTGTTGGTGTTGGGACAGTGGAACAGGACACATGGGTGAAGGACCAACAGGGGGGGCTGAACGCGATGTACGCCTGGTGCTGGTGCTGGTGTTGGTGCTGGTGTTGGTGCTGGTGCTGGTGCTGGTGCTGGTGCTGGTGTTGAGATAGTGAAACAGATCACACGTATTGGTGTTGGGATAGCGAGTCTTGCATCACGTGTCATGTCATGCTGGGTCCATGCAGGTAGAGAGACACATGAGTAAGCAGCGCAGGGATGCATATGTTGGCGAGTGATTTGCGAATGCCTCGTGAATGTTAGGTGATTGCTTGGTGAATGCTTAATAAATGCTCGGTGAAAGGCTAGAAAATGTCTGGCGAATGCCCGTTGAATGCCTGGCGAATGGCTGGTTAATGTCTTGTGAATGCTTGCTTGGTTTGATTTCTGACAATGAAAGGAAATCCCAGCACGTGCACAAGGACAAGTCCCGCAGCAGCGACATGCACAGCGGCCAGCAGTCCTGTCAGCACCACTGTCGGTCCATCCGTCCTCCCATCTTCCAGGCGCCTGAAAAGCACATCCACGCCTGGCAACAGCACGAGCAGGAGTGCTGTCCCCAAAGCAAAACACAGTGCCTTCAGCAGCCCTGACCGCAGCTCTGACAGCAGCACGTTCACTACAATCCTGTCAGCCATGGCCATGGGTATCGATAACTCTTCAAAATGATGTATGCTGGGCAAGTGGTTTGTTAAGACGCCTCAGAAGGCTTATCCAGATTGGAGTCGGCTGGGCAAGAAGTGACAGCTGCAAGATGAGGAGCGGGGAGGACGGGAGCAGCACGCAGAGGGCGACGAGGCGCGATGAAGAGGGAGCTAGGGAGCATAAGGCGCTAAGATCTCAAGGGCAGTGCCAACATTCCAACATTCCAACCTCAATAAGCATCAGGAGCATCAGAAAGAATCAAAGAGCATCAGAGAACATGAGAAACCATCAAAGGGCATCAGGGAGCATCAGAGAGAATAAAACAAGAACAGCAGGGAGCATCAAGGAACGTCAGAGACACAAAGAGGAGAATTGGCAGAGGTACGGAAAGAGGCAAAGCGGACAATCGAAAAGAGACGACGAATCAGATTGCGGAATCGATGTGGCACTCTCAAGTACCGTACTATGCACCAGATGACATGCCATCCAGGTTCACCTTTCACTAGGTTTCTGTATCTCTACGCAACCCTAGTTCGAAACCGGAGCTCAGAGTGTCATCAGGGCGCAGCGAGCAACGGAATCACTTTGCGTCAGACTCGAACGATTCCGTTGGAAGGGAGTGAAGAAGCTTGTAGTTGCTTGACGAGGTGTGACGGGTAGAAAGAACGCGGAAGGATCCAACGCATCGCACGGAAGGGATGGGGCATAGGAGGGAGGACAGTCAAGAGGACAGTCTCTGTGCTGGTGTACGGGTAGCAAGCAGGGAACTACGAAACGCATGTTTTATCATTATGGCGCGGAGCGAAAGGCATCGCATGTGAATTTGGTGAAGGTTTTTTGTGTGAGATGTGTGACATGACCGACGCAACACTGCGCGAGATTCGGGACAATTCCAGCAAAAGCGATGGCGTCACGCCTTGCGATGGCGATTCCACGCCTTGCAATGATCACTGGGCTCACTCTACTTGCTTGCAGATTCCTGCCACACAGCACGTTTCGCCTAGGATATGGCTGTGTGGCTAAGCGGATAAGTTGTGACTCATTTTGAGGCAGCCCTTCACGGAAATTTGTGTGCTATATGCTTGTACCAAGATGACACCTCTCAACGCACGATTGGGGCACAGGCACAGGTGCCACAAGAATGGATGTACCTCATGCTGGTAACAGAATAAAAATAGTGAATGGTAGAGGATTGTTGAGATTATTGACAATTATTTACAATACAGACAATTATTTACAATACAACCCTAAACCCTAAACCCTAAACCCTAAACCCTAAACCCTAAACCCATCTCCTCTGCCCTGCGCCTCTCAGCCTCATCTCCATCGCCAGCACCAGCCCGTCAGTTCCCGCTTGGTGCCCTGAAGGACTCCCAACACCCTCGGTGTCTCCCCGCATCCCGAATCTGCACCCAGCAGCACCACAACCACATAGATTTGACAAAGCAAAAGAAGGTTGAATTGAGAAGCCAGTTGAGGGTGAGTGGAGTACAGAAGGATAAAAGAACATAAACCGTGTACGTATTTTAAATCATGATGATACGAGGTTCTTCTTTGAGATGGTCGAGAGAGGAACAAGCAGGATGAGTTGCGAACGATCAATCAGGATCCGGGGTACGATTGAGAGTTGACGAAGGGACGGCCCCGAGAGGTCGGGAGGAGAGAGAAGAGATGCACAGTTGTGAAGATATCAAATGTTGTCAGGTAACGACGGAAGGAAGGCGAGGATAGTAAAGTTTGTCGGTTCATGACGAGAGAAACGAGGGGGGCGAGTGCAGTAAGACATACGTTGAGTGCGGGAAGGTAACAAAGAAAAGAGGAAGAAAACGAAATTGAGGCCGGCTCGAGGGACGTGTGCGATCAGATCTGAACCCGTTGATCTGACCCTTCCTGGTTTCGAAGGGTTTTATGACTGAAAAGAGGAGATGCGAAGATACAGCTGATGCCCACCCCATGCACGCGAATTTGCTCTGCACCGGATGGAAACGCTGCACCCGAGGTTTTTTCCCCAGCCTGTTGCACCCACGTTACAAGCGCGTCGCGTGGTTATGAACCAATAGTAACGAACAGACCGAAGTCAAACTGAAGAGACTGAAGTCAAAATGTCAACGGATAAGGTTACAGATCCTTTATATAAGCACCTGCGAGTCCTTTTTAGCTAGCTGCGAATTGACGAAACTTATGCGAAATGCTCGATACAGCTTATACGCCCCCTTCACAAGGCAACCGGGAGGGGCTCAATCAGGCATCAGGTGTACGTGCAAACAAACGAAGATCAGCTACATCGCACCTTTCCGTAGGTATTCTCGCCAATTTCAGGCAGTCAGGTTGGAATTATTCTGACAACAGGGTTCTCGAAATTGGCGCGAAATGCTGAGTGGCGATTGCAAGAAAAATCAACCAGCACGAAATCACAAATTGAGTTCGCGCATGCTGTATTTTGGCCGACAACCAGCTGACAGCAGGAAATCGCGAAATGGTTGGACACGTCATCACCTACATGATCGCGCTGTTACATGTGAAACCAATTGTAACATTCACTCCATATTTTCGGTTGTGTCGCGAAGTTGCAAACTAATAGAAACATACTTCATTTTGTGACTATTTGGAATTAATAATCTTAAAACGGTAAATCGGTTGGCAACTCGTTGTAGTCACTTTTTTTCTGCAAATCATTGCAATAGCACATTCGTTCTAACAATAAATAAGTTACTACAGTATACAATGAAATTCTATGCGATAAAAATTCAGACTTAATATAAATATTAAGAATCACCTACTACATATTAGAATTACCTACGCCGATTCAGCACACACACAGCACCAAAATCATAATAATTGGCTATGAGGGGAATATTGGCCTTCACTATCCAACGCTCAATTTGAGCCTTCCGAATGTCCATCTCTCGCCGGTTGGATGACTTGTATGGACCAAGGCTGGCCATGCCAGTGAGCATGCTGTTTTCAACCTGTATCACAAACATTAGAGTTAGTTAATCATCAATTAGCACATAAAAAAACCACAGAAATTTAACACGTCAACTTACAGCAACAAGGAGGTAACAGACTTGATCAATGGTGAGTGCAATGTCTTCAACAGGTTCTTTGTACCACGAACTGGCGGCAGTCACAAACAATTTACTAGATAGTGGGTTATCCCCCACTGCGTGCCATGGAAGCCCATAAACATCTGCACAAACAAAATGGCGATCAGAATCCTTCCTGCTAAATAAAAACGAGTGTGCACAGCCTTACCGCAAGCATTGTCGGTCGCGTAGTCACTACGTGCTTTGTCCGTGTTGGCCACTATTTTCCCTGCAGGGTCTTTCAGGAGTGAGAATGCAGCTTTGCGGGAAGTTGTATTGTACTTCCCTCTCCTGCCATTGCAGTCATGCGTGAGTTTCTCGCCCCATTTTTTGTTTTTGTAGTCCGAGTTGAAGCGTGCAGCTTCATCCTCCCGCACAGCCAACACGTCAGCCAACACAAGTTTGAAATCTTCCTTCGTAGGATATATTCTCCTGTTCTCCAACTTCGCCCCATTTAACAGCGTATCGAGAACTTCGCCCATTTTTTCCTGCACTTCAAAAATAAAGAACGGAATTAGCAGAAGCACGAGTAACATGTATAACATGTGAAATACGTTGTGAGAGGAAGTTCTCACCTGGACTTGGACGTCAGAGCTCCAGCTTGGTAGGTTAATGTTTTTTGCCAACTCCCTGACGATTTGAAGAAGAAGTCGCTGCGTTTCTTCGGTTGCTAGAATCCGTTTGTTGATGGATTCCAACGTGTCCGAGATGTTCCGCAGAGAAACTCGGATGTTAGATTCCAACGAACTGAAGGTGTTTGCTTCCGGATGATGCACGTTCCGGTCCGAGGAAATCGGAGTCCTTGTCCATTGAAACGCAACAAAGTTAGGAACGAGGAGCGAAACAACGTACCGGGAAAACCATAAGCGGCAAAACAAGCATTCTGAAATTAAAACGAACCATTTCTGGCATTGACGAGAGCATTGATGCCGGACCGCGATCCAGCAAGGTTGTCGTTGAACACGTCTTCTTGCGATCCGACAACGTTCTCCGCGATGAGAGTCGCTGCATCACCCTCAACCATGGGAGTGAAAGGGTTAAGCGCATCATCATCAGCTGCATCAGCGGAAGAGACACTGGCGACTACAGCATCAAGATTATCTTTTGCAGGTGGCGTGGTGACCAAGGAAGATTTAGTGGGTGGTGTGGGGAGTCTTTTGGAGAATGCTGGTCAATCCCCAACGAGCCCGACTGCGAGGTTAGTCAGTCTCATA